CAGAGGAGGGCCACTCGCATGATCAGGGGGCAGCAGGGCAGGCCCTATGAGGAGAGGCTACGGGACCTGAACCTGTTCAGCCTCCACAAGAGAAGACTGAGGGGGGATCTAGTGGCCTGTTACAAACTAGTCAGAGGGGACCAGCAGGCACTGGGGAAGTCCCTGTTCCCCTGAGCACTACCAGGAGTGACCAGGAATAACGGTCACAAGCTGGCAGAAGGTAGGTTTAGGCTAGACATCAGGAGGTGCTACTTCACTGTCAGGGCGGCTAGGATCTGGAACCAACTTCCAAGAGAAGTGGTGCTGGCTCCTACCCTGGAGGTCTTTAAGAGGAGGCTAGATGTACACCTTGCTGGGGTTGTTTGACCCCAGTACTCTTTCCTGCCATGGCAGGGGGTCGGACTCAGGTCCACTCAGGCTCCTTCTGACCCTAGAAACTATGAAACTACGTAAAAGTTTAAAAAAAAACACCAAAGGGAAGAAGATATTGAGCCCAGTTAAGCTAGTTTTACCTTCATGACTGGCCACTTGTGAATGTTTTTCTGTTTCCTGACAGCAGCACTAATATTTGCATGTCCAGCAAGCAGAAAGAGTAAAAGCTGACTCACACTAACCTTAATGGGAGATCACTGAATAATGAAAAATTGATTAGCCTCAAAAGATAGGGCAAGTAGGACCTGTCTTTAAAGAAACTTTCACCTGTCTTGTGTAATGATTCTGAAACCTATTAATTTGTGTGTTACACTGTATTGCACTCGTCACCTTACCTTCAGAAATATTCAATTATACAAGGAAACTCATTATTTAGCTTTTATCTACATGTCGGGTCGTTAGCACATTTTCCATTCATTGGGATCCTGAGCTAGAGGGGCTGGCTCAGAGTGGACAGTATTTTAACAGTGCTGACAACTCAGTCCAAAAGCACTGTTCAAAACACGTTGCCTTATGTACAATTTTAAGTTGAACCGTATTATGCACTAAATGCTGGGTGTAAAAAGATCTTATCAGCCTCCAGCTATTACTGTTTCATAAACCCAGTCCCTAGTTGTTATTTCTGTGAAGTAATGGCAGTGTTTTTACCTCAGGAACCATGCTCACTAACTTTTCCCATTGCTTACCGTTTCCTGAGTCAAAAAGCGCATGTTGCAACCCTTCTACCTTTGCTATGAGTTTGATTAGTATTCGCCCTCTGAACTCTCCCAGCACCAGTTCAACTGGAAACTATCTAATGTGCTTTGCGTGAGGGTCTTGTAATCTGCTTGAACAGTTCATACAAGGCAACCAGTATGTATGGTGCTCTATAGATCAGATTCAAATCTCAATTGATGATTTGTTTGTGCCTTAGTATTAGCTTTAAAAGCCTAATTTTTGTAGACATTGGGCACGCCTACATGTCTCCGTTAATGCAAAGTAGTCTATTCTACTGTGCATTAAAGTGGTGCTGAAAAAATCATGCTAATACACTAATGCACAGTAAAATAAGCTACTATACATTAAGCATCACTTAAAACGTGTGTGCTTGCGCTACTGTGCCTTAGTATCTTATACTGGATGTACTACATTTAATGCACATTAGGAAAAGCACATTAATGAATATGTAGACACACCCATTAAAGAGTATCTCTTGCAAAAAGGCCTTATTATTTTTACCCATACAATAACTCCAATAATTCCCTGGAAGAGCATGAGCTGGGACTAAGACTGATGATTTACTGGGGAACACATAAAGGCTAGCAAACCTATCAAAAAGGACACATGACAAAAGCCAACAATGGCCTGTCTGAATACACAAACTACTGCTGGGCTCAATGGAATTAAAATGCTTATAAAAGATACAGTCCTGACCGCACCCTCCTGCTACCTGTTGGGGAGAAGGTGGTGCGGTTTGACAAGGCTTTTGAGGTTAGAACAGGATAGATCGTGTGTGTCCTGACTTTGAATATGAATTTTGGGAGTGACCCTGTGAGCATTTTACAGCAAAAAGAAAATCTTTGCCAAAGGATACTGCATCTTCCTCTCTTTCCTCCTGTCTTCTGTTTTTGCCTATGTTCAACCCAACATGGATCTGCTGTTATATTTTCCTCATGCTAATAATATACAAATATGTTTTGTCAGAAAATTAAAAGAAAACCCAAACTAGAAATAATTAGATCAAACTTTCCACTACAATAACCTTAGGTTGTGTCTTCCTGGAAACTGAATATCAAATTGATGCTCATCTCTATGACTTGCAGAGTTTTACATTGGCCAGGTTGTATCACTTCAGCCACGTTGGTGAAGTGGCACACCTTGCCTCTGTATAGATACCCCTTCCACCAGTATAAAAAGGTGCTTACAGTGGCCAGAACTCCCCAAATCATGAGCTTGGCTGAAAAATCATAAACATTTTACAGATATTTATAATTGGGATCTTTTCCTTTTCCCTCCCGAGCATTTTGGATGCATTTAAGGCAGTGGTTCCCAACCTTTTTTGCTGCGACCCTAAATTGGCCTTCCCAACCCGGCGCCACAGAGACTGCTTGGAGCAGAGTGCAGTGGCAGCTGTAGTGGCAGCCCAGGGGTGTGGACGGGGGAGCCGCCATTGCCCCCTTTGTGTGCAGTGGCCCAACCCACCCACCCACCCACCACTCCTGGGCC